TCTTTGTTTTTCACCTGTTACTATCCATTTTATTTATTTTTTGTTTTTTTCTACTTTACTTTTTTTTGAAATATATTTTTTAACGTATTACGTACGGAAGAAATTAATAAAGATTTGAATTTTGTTAAGTTGAAAGATTATAAAACACTTTTTTAATTGAAAGTTTCTAAAGAATATTAAACACTATCCCTGACGGCCTATTTTTATTTTCTCAGTAATGGGGGGAGGGGACTTTCTGGCCCCTCCTTTTTTTTAATATCTAATATTTCTACATGCTGCTAGTAAGAGAACCTGTTGTTAAAATATTTGAATCCCACCACTGATTAGGGCTATCTAACAACTACTGTTCTTCAGGCAGTGAACATGAATAAGCCAAAACAAAAGATCAGTTTGTTATTTTTTCATCATGAGAAAAGGACAGATGTTTCACAATGGAGCATCATCATGAATGTAAGCCTGCCAGAGACATCAGCAGACAATACAGAATTAACAGTCTAAATACACTAATCAATAATGGTCGAAAATACAGCCACAGGATCTACCTGCACGCCTTAGGCAGACTACATCAGTAAGGTCTCCAGAGAAATTGTAAAAGTTCCTATATTAGTAAAAACATTTGCAGCAGTAGGTAACATTGACGTCAGAATTCATAAACAGTGAACTTAACAGCACAAATGTCAATAAAAACATCTGGCTAATGATGAGACAGCAAAGATTATGTATTTATATTTGATGACAAGGAAGTTAACATTTTCCTAAATTGAAAATGTATTTCGAATAATTTTTACCTCTTAAACTTATAGCTATTACTCAACTGCCAGGCTTTCTTCCTTTGCCCATCTAAGCATTGGTCTGATTTTTTCTCACTTGCTCCAATCTTTTATATCCCATTTAAATTGTCCTTGGCGATATTTGTCTCATGACACTCGGCACCTACGTCAATGGGCTCTCTATCCTGGTACTTTTGCGAGACTGACTCCATCCAGTCTCTAACACCAGCTCTTAGTGTCAGCAGAGGTAAGTATTATTGGAAATACATTTTTGATTTATAAAAATGATAACTTCCAAAGCATACTTACCTCCACATTGATAAAGTGGAGGGGCCAGTAAGGGCATTATCCATACAGAAAGGATCTGCATAGATCATGGGTGTGTGAACAGAAGATTGGTACCCTAGTTGTGGGACCACACTACATTCAGAACAGGTACGCTCTTCACCCTGAATGTAATTCCTGTATCGTGGATGGAACTGTACATAAGTGATCATCACTATAGGCCAGCCCCAACCAGATAGCTGTTGTTCCATTACTCGCGGTTGGAATTAAGAGGTCTTGGTCCCTATATCTCATGTTGGTGGCTAGGGCAATTGGACCACAATGTCATATAAATATAGAAATACTTATGAGTGGATACCAACCTGTGGCCACAGAGTGATGCATTCCAAGTCACAGGAATCAGAGTGAGAAAGTATGCAACATTGAAGTGGACAAACATCCTCCACCTGAAGAAGCCCAAAAGAGAACACCCCAGGCTTGGAATGATGGGTTAGTATATGCCTTACTGAACCAAAGGAAACAGAACTCATCAGATCTGGAATTATGAACATTCATTCTCACTCCCCAACTGTGTGGGTAAAGTACAATCCACCCTCCCCCGGAATTATGGGAAGGATGTGGAACAACTGTGCTCAAACAAGGACTTAAGATGGAACCACTCCACGTTCGGAATTATCAGGAGATAGTGAACCCTCTTCCATTAACAATGTACTGAACTGATATTGATCAAACAGAAGGGCCATGCACACCCCCAACCAGATAGCAGAGCACCAAATCTGAAATGGAATTGAGTAGACTCCTGCATAGGTTGGTGCCACTCCTACCAACAACTGGGAAAATCATTCCAGAGATCCAGGTAGGAGGGCCCCAACTTCACTCTTTTCTCCAAAAGTGGAGGAATTCACTCTAACCCTGTGGAGGAAAACCTTTGTCCACCACCCCAATGACTGAAAACCGAGTGTGGTAAAGACTTCCTATCTCCACTAGTAGAATCTGGGGGTAATGTGCATTGGGAAGTCTTGAGGAACAGTGCTCTGGAACAGTGCAATAGGTGAACCAAGTTCCCTAATTGTTTAAAAGCAAACCAACCCTAATTTATTCACTCCAATGATCAGCAGGGACGGGCAGAATATTCTTGTGCTTTACTCATGATAGTCTATGAGTGGTGGTCCAGCATAGTACAGTAATACCACCTGGTCAGCTCCTATGTGGTCTTATGGAACACCTCATTTCTACAGAGCCTGTTGCAACCTGTATAATGTATATTGAATAGTGCTTGGTAGTGTGGTTTGATAAAAGCACACCTGCCTGGCAACACTCGCCACAGAGTGGGATACTGTGAAAACAAGCTAAGGACCCTGAAAGGTAGCAATGAAAAAAACTCACCTTTCTGTATAAACTAGATGAAATGGTTAAGATAGTTACAGGGAGTAAGCAAAAACCCTCAGATGAAGAGACTGCCAGATCAGGCAAATAATGTGAAATAAAAGTATTGGGGGAGTTCCACATACCAGTCTGCACATTGACCACCAGCTGACAATTTGATCAGGCTGTTAAGGGAATAGCAATGTGACCAATCTGATTAGATGTGACTTGCAAAAAATTCCTCACCTTCAAAGAGAGCCCAGAATAAAAAGTCGTCATCTGGCATCTCAAAAGGCATTAGTGCAGGCAACAAAACCTTCAAGACCCTCACTGAAAATGACCACAATCGACATCAGATTGGACATAGATGTAAGAAATAGTGATCAGATTAATAGGTGAAAAGGACTCTAACCCTTTCCTGTGACAGTGTCTTAGGTAAGAAAAACTGGTGTAAGGATGTAGATAGAATGAGAAAGCAGTCTGCAGACAAACAGTGCAAATCACTCTGACTGGTGATGTATTTAGGTTAGCAGACATGAAAATAAACCTTTAGGTAAAGGGGATACATGACATATAAATCAGGGCACAAACAAGTGTTAAGAAAGAGCCTGTACTGTAATCTTAATATACCTGTTAGGTAACTGGAATGGTGATTGGAATCAAGGACCTAAAGCTACTAAAGGAACCCGGAGAGAACTGGGGTCTCAAAAGTTATCTAGTCGCTATAATCGAATGGCAGTCAATAAGGCCACCTTAAACAGGGAAGACAGAAAAACCTCTAGCAAAAAGCTAGGTCAAAATACAGGGCATAACTGTTCTTTCACGTAACTTAGAAGTAAACCGTCCACCATAAACCACAATATCCATGGATGGAGAGAAAAACTAAAAATCTGCTCCCAGACCTTTCAGCCAGCGAGTAAGGAGCAGGCTCAAAAGCAACCGTGAAAAAGCCCAAATCATCACATTCTCGAAGAAACCAAATCAAAGGCTGCTTATCCCAAAGTGGCCCTTTTTTTCTTTTCATTTAAAGACTGTGTTGATTACTGTTGATTGGAACAACCTTTTGTTAGGTAAATTTGTTTTGTTAGAGCAAAGCAATGTTGAGCCATCCGTCGCATCCACCCGAGGGATCGAACCTCGGACCCCAGCACTACGAGTCTGCAAATTTACCACTGTCCCACAGAGGGACTAAAAAGGCAACACATTAAAAGAAGGCACAGGACAAAGCAAGTCTAAATTCTTTCCAGAATGTCAAGGATCGCCCTCAATTGTGGCCTCAGAACCCCCCGAAGGACCACCACAGGTCAGAATATATGTCTCCATCTCACTACAAATAAGATCACCAACAGTCTCAACTGACAGTGACACCTCCCCGATTGTTGTGCGACCCTAGATATCAGAGGTGAAATTGGTGAGACCTTATTTGCCTCCCTACCAAAAATAATGATACAGGAATTCATGCCATAAATCAGCTTGCCAATCGGAATTTAAAAATTTTATATATATATATATATATTTATTATAAAGTACTATTATGAAAATCAACAAGATAACACTGATAATGGTCAAAGTATCTCCGAACGATCGTAATTCATCAGATATTATTGTCAAGAAAAAGTGATAACATTATCTGAATGAGGTGCTTATATACAGTACCAGGATAGAGGGCGCATTAACGTAGGTGAAGAGTCTCATGAGACAAATATTGCCAAGGGCAATTAAGTGAGGTATAAAAGACTGAAACAAATGAGAAAAAATCAGACCTATGCTTAGATGGGCAAAGGAAGAAACCCAGGCAGTCGAGTAATGGCTATAAGTGGAAGAAGAGGTATGTATGTATTAGAACCCACTTTTAGAAAATAAAAGTTTGGAGATGGCTTGAATGGGTAATGAAGAAAACTTTATTATAAATATACAATGTTTTAACAATATTATGCCAGGTACAAATGACATAATCTTGTTGAAATGCTATACATTTATAACAAAGATTATGTATGTTCTCCTGACCTATACATAATAAGTCACATGGAAGGTTGTACAGTAGAGAACTCCAGGTAAGTTGATGCATTCAGAACCTAGTCACATTACTGTTGACAGCATGAGAGCAAACTCAACAAAACAAGGATTTTAGTATTTCACAGGTAAGTCTATCTAATTTTAATTTCTGTTTCTCATAAGTAGTTAAGATTGATTTATATTTCTTATGATTCCAGCCTTTGAATAAGAAAAACTGTAAACTGATTACAAATCATGTTTGGGGAGCTGCTGTAATTATACTCAAACTTAACTGTTATTTATAAAATAATATATTACTTCAAACCTATGCTTTCATCGTAATAGTTCACTTCTATTGTACGATTGTCCAGATGATAAAATTCATATTCAAAAAATTAAGTTTTAGAAGTAGGTATATTAGTAGGAGCTCATGCTTTCATGTATATTTATAACAAAGCTTACTTATTTTAGCTGAAAACATAGTTTATGATTACTTTTATACACACACACACACATATTGCTTCACAAAATTATTTTTATAGCATCATCTTTATGAGAATCCTTAAAAGACACTTCACTGCAGAAACTTACTACTGAAGTTTGTTCTACCTGCTTCCTACCAGTGTCACTTTTCTTTCTACTATTAGAAGATATAAGACCCCATACAGTACACTGGAGTGGATATGTCAGCAGAGGAAGGTCACCAACACAATTTACTTGTGGTGGAGGGCTAATGATTATATTTCCACTTTCTAATGCTGAAATATGTGGTAATTTTATGTTAATATACTCCATCCATAAAACATGTGAGAATGTCTAACAAACAGAATGGGTAAGAGTTAGAAAACAATATAATTTTTATTTAAAACACTATCATTGATTCCAGTTTTTTTAATTACTATTGTAAAGATTCATCAGTATACATTTTAAACATATGCACATGAATAAATAAATTAATATATATATATATATCCTTTTTTAAAAAACAAGAATTAATATCACTTTACAGAATTAATACTTTTATTTTAGCTAAGCATCCAAAAATTATAAACTCATATATAGTGACAGTTGTAACTTGTGACTTTAGTATCTACATAACAATGTATTAGAAAAAGTAAAAAAATTCAGAACATTGAATAGATACATACCTCTAACAAGAATTTCTTGTTTATTTTTACTGGAGAAAGATAAATCTCCAAGAAAACATACACCATCAGTAGCTAGAAGCAGAGTCCCTGCTATAATCAAATAACAATATAATTTCAACACAAATTGCTGTTCTGAATTATCACATTGGTTATGAATACTAACCAACATACATTTTCTAGTACAATATGTGTATAGACTTCTTGCATTGTTGGATAACAATCTGACTTTTACTTATTTTTGCTTCTAGAATACTTCTGTGTTCAGACTAGAATTATAATGTCATTGAGTAGTTATGTTATCGAGTAAGTAAAACATAAAATGTGAATAGACAATCTTAGTTTACATTTACTCCCTAAAATGGTGAAGTCCAGCAGTTCTTTTTATCTTAAAAAACATGTGGATACAATGAACTCAACTGAATGTTTTACTACCATTTTTAGTATTCCATTTGAAGTTTTGATAAAGATTCTTTTGTAAAAATAATGCCAAGTCCAGCCTACAAAACAATAATGAATCAGCTTATTTCTTCTATAATGTTTTTAAAGAAAATATTCACTTAATCTGTTGACTTAAGTTTACAAACAATTCTGTAACAGAAATTTAGAGACTAATTGGTACTGATGCCTAATTTACAAATAATTAACAGAATTTCCTTTCAATTAACTGAATAAAATGATAATTCTGGCTTCTAACTCTGCACTGAATCCCTAACTCATTATTCTGTAATGTCACATTCACTCATGACTTCACTGATTTTTGTTTTTATAATGTACCCTTATTTCCATAAATTACATGAACCTACTTGATTATTATATAATCATAAACTTTCTAGACACTGTATCATCACCATTATGATTAGCAGCTCTCTCTAGCAAACAATTAAGTAATAACATTAAAAATATAGCTTGCAACAATATGCCAACCACACTATACATATGCTATATCCAATGCTAACAAGGTCTTTTACCCAATATCAGGGCTTTTCAGGCCAGTTGAGATACAACAAACATAGTAGTGGTTGAGATACTATTTATATTATTAAACTGTTTGACAACATCTGTTACAGTGTGCACTGGATTTAGTTGATAAAGTGTAATTTTTATGAATTTTATTTATGTTGCAAAACATCAGAATTAGGGTAAGAATTTTTTAACACTATATTGTTTATTTATTTTAACAATATATATATATATATCATTAATTATTATTTTCTTGAATTAACCTACTCATTATTCAGAAGAACTGGCAAACCAGCAAGCTAGTCTATATGTCAGAGCAACAAACTCGTGGCATTTTCAAATTTTAAGTTGTAAGGCAATAAATCTGATGCTGTTTATTTTACTTCTTAAAAAAAGTTTGAAAACCAAAGCTAACATCTGAAATACAAATAAAGCTGTCACGTTTAACACAAAAAATCAGCAGTGTATCAGCTAAAATGCACTGTAGTCAATCAGGCCCATCCGCAAGATTTTTTTGAGGAAGTGCAAAACTTAAGATTTTGCCAAAAAAGTGTATTCTGGTCACTGAGCTCAGCGAGGCTACCACCCTGGGGGGGGGGGGGGG